TCTCCCATGGAGAGCTGTCGAGAAGGGAGATCAGGTCCGAGAACCATACTCGGCCCGGCCAGAACGGGGCTACTAGCAGCAGACGGACTCTGTCCCGGCGCACTCTCTCCAGAACTCTCCAGGCGTACAGACGCAGTCTCAGCCACGTCCGTACCATAGCATCCAGTCCCTGGGGAGCTGGATGAGTCAGAGAGAACCAAAGGGGACAGTGCAACGTCTCCTGCGTCGCAAACAGATCCACCTGAGCTCGGCCAAACATACGCCATATCTACTCCACCACCTCGGGGTGGAGCCTCCATTCCCTGGGCATCGGCCCCCGACTCGACAGGGCGTCTGCTCCCAAATTGAGATGGCCAGGGATATAAGCTGCTCTCAGCGAGAAGAGTCTCCCCTGGGACCACACAAGGATCTGGAGCGCCAGCCTGTAAAGGGGGCGCGAACACAGACCTCCCTGGTGGTTGATATAGTAGGCCACTGCCGTGTTGTCGGTGCGCACCAACACGTGGCGACCTCTTAGGTCCAGGAGGAAGTGTTTCAGTGCTAGAAACACGGCCAGCATCACCAGGCAGTTGATGTGTCAAGTGAGATGGCGGCCACTCCACAGACCACGGGCTGAGCGGCCACTCATGACCGCTCCCCAACCGGTGAGAGAAGCATCCGTCGCTAGCATTACGTGGCGACCAGGAGCTCCCAGCACCGGGCCCTGAGACAAGAAGCCAGGCTTCCTCCACATGTCCAGGGCATGCAGGCACCGCCTCGTGACCTTGATCATGCGGAGCGGGTTTCCCCTCAGGGAGAACCCCCTGGTCTTGAGCCACCACTGTAGGGGCCTCATATATAGCAGGCCAAAGGGTATTACGATGGACGCAGCTGCCATCAGACCCAGCAGTCTCTGAAACTGCTTCACAGTGAGTGACCGGCCTTCTCTCACTCTCGCAACTGCTATGAGGATCGACAGGCATGCCTGCATCGTGGTCGAATCCCACACCACGCCCAGGTAAGTGATTCTCTGAACGGGAGAAAGCACACTTTTCCTGGCGTTTAGTCTTAACCCCAGCTCTTTCATGTGGGCGAGAACAACATCTCGATGCTGAACTGCCATCTGCTCTGATCGAGCTAATATCAACCAGTCGTCGATATAATTTAGTATGCGGATGCCCTGGAGTCGCATAGGAGCCAGAGCAGCATCCACACACTTTGTGAAAGTGCGGGGTGAGAGTGCTAGGCTGAACGGAAGAACCCGGTATTGGTAAGCTTCGCCCCCAAAAGCGAACCTCAGGAACTTCCTGTGTTGAGGAAGGATGGAGATATGGAAATATGCATCTTTTAGGTCGATCGTGACAAACCAGTCCTTGGACCTGATCTGAGACACGACCTGTGTAAGCGTGAGCATCCTGAACTTCAGTCAAGCGACTGAGAGGTTCAACTGCCGCAAGTCCAAAATGGGACGCAACCTTCTTGGGAACAATGAAGTACCGGCTGTAGAACCCGGACTCTCTGTCGTGAGGAGGGACCACCTCGATGGCCTCCTTCCTCAGGAGAGTGTGCACTTCCTGTTCCATTACCAGAGCCTGCTCAGGGCCCACCAAGGTGGGAAGAACCCCGGAAAAGCGAGGCGGAGGAGTGCCGAACTGAATTCGGTAGCCTCTCTCTATAGTACGCAGGACCCATTGAGACACATTCGGCAGAAGTTTCCACGCTGAGCTCACTAAGGGGATCAGCCTCTCGAGACTGACCTCTGGTACGACAGAAGCGGCTAGCTTGGTGCCCTGGAGTGGCGAACCAACAGGGAACGACCGGACTAGCTGCTCGGAAGGCCTCCAAAGAGGCCGCGAGCCTCCCAGACCCGCTATGTTGCCGGGCGGGAACTGGTGGAAACGCTCGCCGGAGACCGCTGCACCCTGAAGCACCATAGGTGGCAGGGGTGGCAGACCGGCCTCGCGAGGGCACTGAGGCGAGACGGGCACCGTATGATGAGGTGTACACCGTCCCGCCCCAGAGGGGCCCGCCCTCGGAAGCCCTGGACCCAAACCATCAGGGCTTCTTAGCCGCGGCCCTCCTCGACAAAAGAACGGTCCTCAGATCCATCTTTGCGTCAGAGGGACCGGGCCCAGAGCGCCGCCGAGACTCCCGGTCCCGCCGCGGGGGAGCACGGGAGGCAACGCTCTGTTTCTGCGCCTCCCTATGAGAGGAGGCAGTACACGGAGGGAGCTGCCCCCGCCCAGCAGCCCCATGGGACAGAGAGCGACGAGGGAGAAACCGCTGAAAGGCCGCCGCCTGGGTGCGGGCCTGCTGATACCTGTCGACGACGGAATTAACAGCGTCGCCGAACAGGCCAGAGGGCGCCAATGGGGCGTCTATAAGAACGACCCTGTCCTTCTCTTTCATGTCGGACAGAGTCAACCAAAGGTGTCTCTACACCACCACCAGGACAGCCACAGACCGACCGATAGCACGGGCGGTCTCTTTGGTGGCACGGAGCGAAAGATCAGCGGCCCGCCTGAGCTCCACTAAGTGCTCAGACGGAATCTCCCCCTCATCCAGCTCTTTGAGCAGGTCAGCCTGGTAAGCCTGTAACACCGCCATGGTGTGCAGACACACACCAGCCTGACCCGCTGCCATGTACGCCTTGCCCACTAGGGCTGAGGTGGTTCGTAGCGGCTTGGTGGGCAGCGCCGGAGCCTTCAGGGACGATGCCGCCTCAGGGGACAGATAGCAGGCTAGCGTCTGTTCAACCCTGGGCATCACCCTATAGGCAGAAAGATCTAGCCCCGCCACATTAGCAAAATGGGAGGAGGCGGGACTGAATAAACGGGCCGAAAAAGGCCTCGTCCACGACCTCGACACCTCAGTGTGGAGGTCGGGAAAAAACGGCAGGCTCCGGCGTGGAGGTGGCGGTCGGCTGCGCAGAAAGCGCTAATCTAACTTAGACCCCTGCGGTAAAACCCGCGTCTCAGTGGGCCAGTCGATGCTAAGTTTAGTGACGGCCCGTGAAACCACCTCCAGCAGCTCCTCATATTGAGGAGACTGCGGCAAATCAGGGTCGGCGCCCTCCACGTCAACCTCCTCGGAGGAAGACAGGCGGCGTGCCGGGCCCGCTCCCCGGGGGGAAGAAACCACAGAGCGGGCTTCTGGACCCAGAGAGCGGACAGTAGACCTGGAGGGTGAGGAAGGAGAAAGGGACTCGCCCGTCTCCATTCCCTCCGCCAGATCCATCTGCGAGCCCCACGAGTGCAACTGCCGCTCTGACTCGGCAGAAGTGGGGCCGGCACCGCGAGGCACGCGAGTGAAGGCTCCCTTCTCGAAGAGAGCCTTCCGGGAGCGAAGCGTGCGCAGTGGCAAACGCTCGCAATGCGAGCAGCCGGCTCCCTCAAGAGCCGTCTCTGCGTGCTCCGCTCCCAAACAGACAACGCAAAGACTGTGTGTATCCCCGCCCGTAATATATCGCGGGCAGGGAGGAACACACAGCCTAAAACGCTGTCCGCTCTCGCCCTTTCTATGCTTCATTTTGTCTTTGGCCTTAGGCATGCCGCAGACAACACAAAATAGACAAACAATTGACAAACAATATGACACAGAGCGCTTGCTGAATGACAGAAAGCTAGCGCGGCACGTGCCACTCGGGCTTTTATGCTTCCAGGTCGTTACGTCACCCCGCCCGTGACGTCTCGCCCATTCATTCATTGACTGATTACACATGTGATTCAGAGCGCGTTCACGCTGAAGGCGTTCCCATAGCGTTTCGATGCAGCTCGAGTTCCTGAAGGGGAACCTATGGGAACTAGTGTATTGATATAAACCTGTCATTTGTCTTGCAGCTGAACTACTTTCAGAGTAATGAACAGACTAATTCAATAGTGCTGTGGTATAAAATCACACAAAGGTTTATCCAACAGTATGCTTATAGTCTCAAGAGAAAAAAGAAAGACCAATGACTTTGAACAACTTTAATAATATATTTAATTAAAACCTTTCTTAAAGCAGCTCACACTGCACAACGACTTTCTAAAAAACATTCGCTTAAACCCAGTTACAGGATATTTTACAGGAGATATTCACTCCTGTCCTGAAAGCTATGGTATCATATTGTGTCCTGCTGTTCACCTCTATGGATTCCAATTCTGTAATGCCAGGATGAAGTAATCATCTGACTCTTATCTCTAGCTTTTTCTACTTTCTTGCCAGCATTTCCTCATCATGTCAGAACCCTTCACCTTGACCAACACACCCGAGTCTACATTCAGAGGTTTGAAATGACAGATTGGCTTGGCTGATTCTAGCCATCGGCCTGATTTAAGTCCAGGGACAGGGGAGGAATTGTGAAATAGAGATAAAAATGTGGTATCTCGAATATGATACAACCCCTGGTTGACAAATGTACACCCTTATTCTCAGTCCTGATAAATCTTAAATGTTCATCTTTTTTTTCTTGCCTAAAGCTGTGCCACCCCATCTTTCCTGCTCCCATATCTCCTGGATGATCTGTTGCTGGGCAGACTGGGAAACAGCAGGAGAGCTGTGTTTTAATGGGCCTGCTTCCACACTGAGCCCACAGACTCTGTGAGACGTGCTCCTATTCAGTGGATATTGACTGTAACACAGTGAGGGATCTTAAAATTCTCTTTTATTCAGTCTAATGGCATTGACTGCATAGGCCAGTGAGCAATACTGCTGGGCAAACAACTGTACTCTTGCCCTGGTACTTTTTTCAAACTAGTTTTCAACAATTATTTGCTTCCTACATCACCATGACAAGGAATTATATTTGTGAACAGTCATGATAGATGAATGTTACATTTACAGCATTTGGCAGACATCCTTATCCAGAGCAACATACATTTATCTCATTTATACAAGGGAGCAATTGATGGTTAGGGGCCTTGCTAAAGGGCCCAACAGTGACAGCGCTGGGATTTGAACTTCTAATCAGCAGGCCAATAGCCTAACCAGTGAGCTCTTAACCACAAGAAACTAACATGCAATACACGTCTGAAAGCAAACAACTCTGGTGGGACTCGAACCCACCACCTTTATAATTGCCTAGAAGGCTGAAGTGCTATCCATTGTGCTACAGATCCACATTACTTAGACAGCATGTTAGAATAACCCATACTGATTTAAAACCGAATGGACCTGAACATACAGTAAAATAGCATTAATACAATAAAAGTAATTCAATGTTTACAGAACAATGTTTACAGAACAATGCGCAATAATATAAAAATAAAACAATCACTCATACCTTGCTTTGCAAAACAGTATACACCGAGTGTGTTAATGTGGTGTGATTTACAATCTCCTCTGCTTTCTCGTATTGGCATTAATAGATGCGTATAATTTAATGTGATAGTAAATTTTAATGGCATTTCTAACACATTACCATTTGCACCCGATGCATGACTGAATCAATTTATTTGAGCCGTTTAGTACATAAGTCATGTAGCAGGAACCTAAAGAAGGTGCCTAAGAAGCAATCATCACATGCAATAATGCTCACAGAGGCCTAAGTGCTGTAAAATGAATGGGTTCAATATTAGTGAATCAGAGGGAATGGACTCTAATCACACTGAATGAGACACACTAGCAGAAAGACGCGATCAGACACGTTTGTCCCAGTCATGACCCCTATGATTATCTGCTCTTTTTCCCCCACAAGTCACTAAGTTAAATGCACTTTTATTTAGAAAAAACAGTTTCAACATAAAGTATACAGGAGGCCAAGCTAACCTGGTAGTGCCATTATATGTGTGTATCATTTCCATCATAAAAAGGTCTTTTAGAGAATTCAGAATGGACGTAGCATGTTTCGACAACCAGGAGATAGTAACCTGTAGACACACGCCACGCTTCTTTTCATATATTATAGGTTTTACCTAGATTTGACCTTTCCTAAATAGTTCACAAGGGCTTGTTATGCCATTATTTTTTCTCCTGATATCCCAGTTTCTCCAAATCAACATTTACACAACAAAATAAGATGCATTTTAGTGATCGATGGGAAACATGTTTTTGGACCTCGTTTCATTCTTGCTGATCAGAGGTCAGTGCAAAATAATTTAAGAAACTAACTTAAGAAACAGGAAGAGAAGAACTTCCTCATTTTGTGTTTCTTGAAGCACGTTTCCACAGTCAGCACTTGGAAACTGATCACTTTTTGTCATAAACAGACATACATCGATAATAATTTACTCAATAATAAAATAAAACAATTAGAAAACACTTATCCAAAATACAAAATACAGTACAATTAAAACATAAATTGGTGGAAAAAGCCATAATAAATAGAATGATGTGCTAATAAATAGAAAATATATATATATAAAAAACAACAACAATATCCTCATGCTAATCTAAAGAGTAATTACTTTCACATTTCTTCTGCTTTTACTTTTACTTGTTTAGAGTTTAAGTTCATTTAAGTTCTTATGTAGCAACAAATAAATCACAAGCTGTGCTTATGGCTTAATATTTGTTTTGACCAGCTTACTCGCATAATCTCCCTGCTGGGGAAATTACTACATTTACGTGCTCACAGTGAAACATCACATCTGTTTCGGCTTGTGCAATTCAGAGGGAACTTTTCAGCCTGGGGCTAAGAAGCCACACATATCTTATTCATCAGTTCTTTCTCTCTCCATGACACTGCCATCATCTTTCCTGAATAGTGAGTGTCTTTATTCACCTCAAGCTGCAGTATGCGATGGAATATCCCAAAGTCAAATATTTTAAATTAAATATTTTGTATTACTTAAATTTGCTGTTAGCATTGATGATCTTGCTAACTTCCACCACCTCCCTCCAGTTCCCAACATCCAAACGATGCCACATTATGATACAGAAGACAAAAATGTTACACAAGTAGTTACGCGCTTGATACCATATCAAGAAACTTTGAAATTCAACACTGAGTTCATTTATAACTACTGGATGGATCAAAGGTCGACAGCCACAATAGGACTCTTATGCACTACGTTCAAGCAACCAACACTCAACAAAACACTTTCAGACATCTGAATGTCATTTCTTGTCTATTAATTATGCCATGTATGTTATAATGTTCCCCTTACAGAAGATAACAGATTACAACAGAACCCATGAGGCAAAATAAGTGCCTATAAATGAGAAACAAAGAAAAATCAGTATCAGTTATCAAGCACTTCAAATCTCTCAGGAGTCTCCAGAAGCAAGTAATCTTTAGTAACTAAGTGATCTTTATTCGTAAAGCATTTTCTAAACCATAGCTGCAATAAACCCCAATCATAAAACAATAAAATAAAGAACAATTGTGTGATTAAAAATATACATTAAAAAGTGAGAGTAAAAGTGAGATTGTAAAAATAGGTTTCTTACAAATGCTTAATAAATCTGATAACTTAATGTAACAGGGAAATTATTCCAAAGAGTAGGAACATGGACAGCAAATGCACAGACCCCCTTTTCCCTTTAGCTTGGGATCGACAGGAACTCGTAGTTTTGGAGCACCTAAGAGACACATAATTAAAAAAAGACAGCAATTCTGAAATATATTCAGGAGCTTCACTATGTAATGCCTGGGACATGAGCGCCAACAGTTAAAAATAAATCCTAAAAGTATGATGGTGGAAACCGAAACCTTTGGTTGAACATCAACAGTCTCCACCACTTCACAGAATGACTCTTCATAGCTATTCTAAAGTAAGTGATAACAGGAACTAACTTCTCAGACATTCCACAACATTAAAGGTGAATATAAACGAATAAAAGGTACAAGGTGCTGTTGTTAAATTAATAACAATTGTTAGCATTAGCAACTTGCTGTAGTATAAGAGGAATAAAACACTTCGGGAGATGCTGTTATAAGAACGTCAGGGTGGTAAAGATCACATCATGTGTTGATTATTTTCCTATATTTATTATGTGCATAATCCCAGGCTTATCTCCTACTCCACCAAGATAGCACTTCCTGCTTCCTGTTTATATACCTGTTTGTATATGCATTCCCTGTACAGCCTCTTTGCTAAGACATTTCCTGATTAGTTAGTATACTTTTCTGAAACACAGACAGTTGACATTTCTCCAAAGGGGATATTTATATTGATAGCGATCAGAAAGTTTAGCCAAAGCATTCTGTAACATTAGCTTGCTCAGTCTTTACTGCTTTTAATTAGCTGACCATAGTGCTTAAAGTAGTATTTTATTGAGTAGCTGCAGTGGAGTACATTTGTTCTGGTTATGATCACATCCTCCTGTTGTTTTACAGTTTGAATTTTGCAATTTACCCAGGTGAAGTCTTCTAGTCAGGGATTAGATTAGGACCTTCCTGCTAAGAAAAGCTGATCTGAGCCAAAGCCCTGGGAAGATTTAGATTAGTTTCCAAGATGAAGATGACTTGTAGTAAGAAAAGAAAGCATCTGGATATCTCATGGAAGTTTCCTGAAAACTTATAAACTTGGAAATGAATTTATTACACTGTCTGGATTGCGTTATCATTCGGGACTGCTAGCAGCAAGCACTGGTTTACTGAATTATTAACGGAGTTGGGAAGTAACAAAGTAAAATTACTTTCTTACTGTAATTAAGTCTGATTTTCAAGTATTGTTACTTGAGTTTTTCACTGAATACTGTTTTTGTACATACTACATTATAAAATCTCCACTTTCTCCTCAATACATTTTCAAACACATCACTATGTTTCTAGATAATCATATACAGTATGTATAAAGTCATAAGGTGTCTTTTTTAATCATCAGACCCATCACTGTAATTTCTCTGCTCCTATTTACACTTTGTATTTATTACGACAGTTTGTGTTATGACAGCTAGCTATTAGCATTAAGCTAGTCTGTATCATCAGAGTTATTATCATGCTAGCTACCATTTGTGAGATTAGGAATAAAGCTGTTGTTAGTTAGCTTTAGCTAGTGTTTTCCCACATTGCTTGGTTTCTCGGTCAAAGAGGCACTAATTTACCATCAGTAACTTTCTTGTACTGAATGAATTGTGAATTTTTCTTGTACTTTTACTTTCATACTTTAAGGAAATTTAAGTTTATACTTGAGTGTAGAATCTATAATTGTACTTCGACTTTTACCAGAGTATTTGTTTAGATGAGTAATTGGGTAAAGAATTTCGATAGTTTAACCACTCCTGATTATTGACTTCACTTAATATGACTTACAGATTATGTTTAGCTGCACTTATTAGCAAATTCTTGCCAATAATCCCTTAAACAACAATTCAGTGGTATCTTTACTCATCTGGATTCACGGAGATTCTGTGTGATAATGCTTATTTCTTAAAGTTCTATAAGATAAATTGCCCCTAGATGTGAGAATGTGTGTGTGTGTGTGTGTGTGTGTGTGTGTGCTTCCGAACTTCCTAAGTTCTCTCCACATCACCCCATTGCTGCGTTCCCTTCACTGGCTTCCTGTAGCTGCCTGTATCAGATTTAAAACACCCATACTTGCCTACAAAGTCAAAAACGGACCAGTACTGCACCACACTCCCTCCGATCCTCTAGCACTGCTCAACTGTTCCCACCATTTCTTAGGGTACAAGGAAGGCATGCATCAAGACTCTTCTCTGTTCTGGCACCTAGGTGGTGGAAAGAACTTCCCCTAGATTTCCGAACAGCTGAGCCACTGGCAATCTTCAAACAATGTCTAAAGACCTATATCTTCCTAAAGTACTTGAATTAGCACTTTAGGGGGAAAAAATGACCTAGCGAACCAGTATCAGAATGTATTTATCAATAGAGACTTCAAAGCACTTCTGTAAGTTGCTCTGGATAAGGGCATCTGCCAAATGCCATAAATGTAAATGTAAAATAAATGTGTGTGTGTGTGTGTGTGTGTGTGTGTGTGTGTGTGTGTGTGTGTGTGTGCATGCTGCCCTAAAATGGATCGGTGTCCCATCCAGGGTGTATTCCCGCCTCATGCCCAGTGTTCTTGAATGAATCATGGTACTTCTTCAATTTTTGTTTTCTCATATTAACCATTGTTTTCTCATATATATATATATATATATATATATATATATATTATTATTTTTTTTTTAATTAATTATGCTCTCCCCTCACAGTCCAGTGCTCAGAAGCAGT